CCGAAATTTGGGCTATGACCAAGGAAGATGATGAGGATGTTAATATTGAAGTACATTTCCTCACATTCATCAGAAAAGAAGCATATAGCTTATTAAAAACTCTGGCTTTACCGGAAAAGCCCATTTCGCTTTCTTATACAATTCTCAATGAACTGCTGCTAGACTATGTTAAGTATACGAATTTCGATTGCAGTAAAGGGAGATTTCGCGTAATGATTCACAAGGATATAAAAAATCACACTACATTACGTCATCCAAACGCAGCGCATACTGAAGGTTATGCAGATAATTCATTGGGGAGTTAAGATGCAGTTCACGAAGATGGGCACAAGTTTTGTCAATGCTTGTCCTGTGTCAGGTTCCACTCTTTTAATTCATGTAAATCTCATAATTCTAAGTGCTTCAAATGTGGTGATATTGGACACATTCAGTCAGTTAGTAATACTACTGTCCATCTTGCTGTAACGAATATTAAGTACTAAATGAGCTCGATTTTGATTACGATTTGGATGATTTCATATCAACTGCTGTTTATCCTTATCACGAAGTCACTTCTAGTGTTTACTCTAACTAATGTGAGAAATATGTTTTAAATGAAGCCACATTTTTCATATATATAAAGATCCAACATTATTTCGTAGGGGAGAATAGTCTAAAAGTCTATTGTTCAAATTCTAGGTAGCAGCGGTTTCAGTACACAACCGACATGTTGATTACGCAATCCCCGGAAGCAGACACAGGATGAACGTAAGAAGACGTACAATCGATTGCAAACACTTAAACTCTAAATTAAGCTGTGGCGGATGTGGTGTTTGAATGAACTGATGATTCTTTTGTACTTGCTGAGTGCTTGATTTTGAATTCTAAATACAGTATATTCATTCGTGATTATCGAGTACTTCTTGATCCGATTACGTTATTTCTGGGATTCTTAGTTCATACTATAATCCAAATACTCCTATTTATTACACACCACAAGAACATATTACGAAAATATTGTCGAAACATTGATGATAACTCTTTTCTTCTTGTTCGAATCAAGTTAACATAGGAATGGAGATGGCACGTTAGTCGCTTGAATGTGAGTAATTTGTATCAACTTTCAATGAATTTAATATACACTAATTTACTTTTTTTTCAAAAAACATATAACCTGAATTTTGCCTTACTATACTGAAATCTACCAGGTGATGATGGATAAAACACTGGATGAAGTAAATCAATTAGAACATTACTTTTCACTTTAATCACAAGTGTATTACAGTGACAGAATAATGAAATAAAATCCATAGTTTTTTTAGAACTGAATTCTTCGTCGTTTTTGAGACATGTACATCACTAGCGTAGATGATCTATGTCGAATGACTGAGGGTCCACTCGAGTTAGACGGGAATTGTGCGACGGAGCAATTTGCATCAAAGTCACTCCTCACAGTCAGCACCTAACCTGAATTACACCTTCGACTTATCAGGGTACTATTGCTGCTGTGAAACCCGTATAACACAAAAGACGTTGTTACGGAAATGTGTTAGCGAAAGTAGGTACAAGGAAGAATTTGAGACCACCACCGTGTGAATCAGTTCGTGGAGTGCAATTAATTTATGCGTGCTAGTTGTCCTTGACCTTAACGGGGATCGGCGAATCGTTCGACATATAGGGACTGAACTGCCAGATGATTTTGCTAGGGCTCAGTGACATTTCATTGTTTCCTCGGTCACATTGTGCGTAACAATACCGTTATTCAATCTCTTTAATTTACATTGACCAGTTGTAAGGCATGCATCTGTAGCGTGGTGCCGAGTGGAGATGGACCATGAACACCGCTACCAAGAAACTCGTGCCAAATTACTCCATAAAATCCCCCGGAAACCAAATATCAGAAGGCAATTAATGGACCAAATCGAGATATATTCGCTGGCGATCTCGTGGCATCGGAAGGATACCGAGAACGTGCCAGGATACAAGCTTGGTTACAGAACGTAACCGAATTCGCGCGAAGTCACAATCAAAATGTAAGAATAATAATGGAAGCACAAAATAGCTGTCATTAGCATAGTCAAACGAAAGCACATTAAAACAGTCACTGGTACAATTGGTTATAATAATAATTGTTTTTATTAAACCAGTCGTGTTCTCGTGATAAATGTGAGTCACTACACATCGATCGCAACGTCATTATATATGACCGATTTCATTACCCAAGTCCTCACTTTGATTTCTGTCAGTTGCGAAATATTTCATATGCTATTGATGTTGCTGTACATATTTTAGGTCACTATTTACTTCATCCGAACCGTAACGTTTATCTACTCAAAGTGCACTAGAGTTCTCATTATCACGATGACATCAATTTTGAAAGCGAATATCAATCAACTAAGATAATTCAGTTTTGTAGCATATTTCTAGCGAGGATTTTTCGGTAAACTGTTTGTCATTTATTTGTATTGAGTACAAGTATTTCCTTCTCATATGTGTTTGATAGTTGCTGTGTGCAAAAACTTTTGCCGAATCCATCTGTGTGGTCTTTTAAGTTTCCTAGATGAAGAATATTAGCTCAAATAACGCATATTTGTCAAGTTACCAGAATAAACAGTGGTCAGCAGAGTTAACCATGTCGAACGATAAACAGATACTGGAAATCGAGATAAAAAATGTATACACGATATCACGAATTGATCGAAGTTACATGTTTAAACTATCCTATAATATCAGAAGTTCGTATATTGACTATGACAGTCACATTTAAAACTACTTTTTGATATTGTTGAATTTTCTGCTACTAACCGAATAGGCTGATTATAATGCAGCCGGTTTCCCACGATGTGACAGCCTAACCTATACGATTTCACATCTCAGTCGACCTATTTTAACAGTCGAAACAAACCTTTTTAAAGTAAATAACCCTAGTTTATTCGATATAAATGAAGACGTGGTACAGAATAAATTTTCACAGATTTAAATCATGAGTCAGTTGAAGCTAGACCACCATTGAAAACCTGGAAGCACTGGATGGACGTTTCGTACTAGTATGGAACTCCTCAGCAGTGAGCATCCACGATCCCGCACCACGCGAGGCTCGAACCCAGGACCTACTGGTTTCGCGCGCGAGCACTTAACCACTAGACTACTGAGCCGGCATCCAACGGTGTTAAAGTCTAACTTCAACCAATCCACGAAGTTGCGCCACCATATACCATTGTCTTCAGTGAGCTGATATCTCACAGCAGACCTGGTTGAACTCCACTGGTAACGACTTCCCACTAGAACTCCAGGATAATAAAGTCTACACGACTGGACCACATAATCCTGATAACTTGTTATGGTTCACCTCCACTTGCTATCTAGCGTAAACCCCTCAATCGTATATTCAGCCTGAACAATCATGCGATGGTGGAACGGCACCACCTCCTTAACATTGCAAGTCCTCACTCGACTTTAACTTCAGTTAATAAGGGTAAAGTGATTTTAAACGAAGCTGCAGTATAGAAGCCATAAGTTTGATTGGCAAAACATTCGTCCAACAATGATCACACACCTTTTTTTATTGGTCTTATTTAAATGAATTTTATGTGTTATCACTCGCTGCTTCTGGGATCAAGTATGGTGAGGATGTTTCACAGAGTAATATCGTTTGCATTACAATGATAAGCTGTAGAACATTTATATAGATCCCCTGTTACAAACACAACTTTCGGACGATCATTTCAACAAGTCACATAATTAAAGTTGCACAACTAAAGGAATTATCTTCTGATATGCACATGCTGGTAGTGTTTATTTGCTCATGTGACTATCCTACAGGGAATAATGGAAGCTGAACTACTTGTAGGGAAACCGATTCCGTAAATTATCCAGTCAGAACACACTAAACGTGGGTTGTACCTTCTGTATTTAACTTGTGTAGGCGCCGAATGATGTCCCAACACCCATACTAATTTTTTTTGCACTAGTGTGAGGGAAAATACCTGCATATCGAAGAAACCAAATGCATGTCGTTAGAATCCCCAATGTAACTGGTAACCGTGATTACAGGCAAACATCGCAGGAACCACTGCGCAACATATACCAGGAGTGAATCACATGATCCTAGAGTTAATTCCGATGACAGCTTTATGCTATATAATACCGAAACGGACGTTACAAATTGACGAATACTTGAAGGTAGATTATTAAAGCCCGCTGCCTGAAAAAACAATACCTTTTATTGACAGATAATTGCCATTTGAACATTAAAATTAAAACACGAAGGGATCTCTTTTCAACGAATTTATTATCGAGCTGTACAATCGTATATTATTACGTCATGGTTAACTGTGTTCACATTTCTTCACGTAATTAGTACTTTTACAAAAAACAAACATATATATAGATTGTGCAGCCTGATAATAAATTCGTTGAAAAGAGATCCTTTCGCTGAACTTCGTGTTTTAATACCTTTTATGAGAACTGATAACTGGTTAACATTATACTCGCACTGCCCTTTCTGTGACGACCCAGTTAACTCATCAACTGTTGGTTTATCCCTTGCCGCACTTGATTTATAACTACAAAGCTGTACAGATTTCCTCCTTGTTATCTTTACATTTGGTGCAAGTAACAACATGCACGGTAACACAAGTAATAAGAGTGGTTTATTTCGAGTTCTGATTGGGCAGATTGTTAGATCAATCAATGTTATTACGAACCATCAGTGTGGGCACTAATGGACTTATACAAATAAATCACAACATGATGCCGGAACGAGTAGAACTAATGATTTGTAGTGAGCAGTCATATACACACTCTTAACCACATGTCCTGATCAATCACAATCTTCTCAACCAAACTCACAATCCTTAATTTCAGAAATTAATCCAACACCTTAATAAGGAACAAGAGGAAATAACTAGTGAAATAACTATATGATAAATTTCAGCCTAAAGATGAAGTATTCCCACAATACGTACCATTATTTTCCCAAGACAAACTTTAAAATTTTGACTGAGAAATGAGTCGATGTCGATCAGTAGCATGAAAATGATAAATAGCTCAATAATACTGACAATATAGTAACTAACATAGTTTATAGGAAACAGTACAGAGAATGGTACAAATACACATATAAATGAATTCAAGATATAATGTCTGGAATAAAGAGCAGATTACCTCATATATATCAATGGAAAAATCCTTACAAACAGCAGGAAGTGAGTAATCTTTTGTACATGTGGAAAATGGGATATTAGTTTAAATACACATGAATCTAAGTATACATAATAAATATTCGTGAGAAATGAATAGGTTAACATTGAGATTTGTGAGAGTGAGCATGGGATTTCAGTGAATCAAAAAACAAACTGATTGTCTATTTACAAGAGACTAACAGCTTTTTAACGCCCGCAAAAATCAACTATGCATCCATTTGCAAGATAGCTTGTAACGTTTCCAAAGTTATTCCTTCGCCACCATGCTCAACCTGAATAGTTTTAAAATTAAATACAGTTTTGAATAAACCAAATTTTATCACAACATATTTATGAAGTAAAGTGTGACCAACAGAAAAAAAAAACAGGGACGCTGTGCTAACTAGTGTGAAGACTGAGATTCGGTTTTTGTTTTTGTTGACATTACATACATTTTTACATGAATGACATTACGGGTAGAATATGCTTGGAAATAAGTGTAGTGATCCGTAATTTAAGCGATAGATAGATCATTGGGAAGTATTCAAAGTGACATTCAACCTAAATTACAGTCACATTCATACAGAAAAAAATTGGACGTACGCTAATTTTTTGAAAGTTACAAAACCTTTAAACGGACGCATGCGTGTTTACGACAATATCAGCAGACTACTTTCTGTTAGCCCAGGTATAATTGGATACATGCTGTTAGCAGGACATAGATCGGATTAAAGCATGTTCCGTGAGCGATTGTGTTGGTGGACGCCGACTAGCTGCTTCTTATCTAATCAGCGCTAGTCAGTACTTAGAGAAGACTCTAGAATCTTCCCATGTAAAAACTATAAATATACAAACGTTTCTCTTATTGTGCTTTTTACTTTCATCTACCCTTGTTATTTGGGATATAATTTCTTTACTGTTCAACCGTGTTGATTTGGGGACTTGTCGAGTGAATCGGTGTCCGAGAATACTAAGCAATAGAAATAGCTGGGTCGTAATAAGAGAAATTATAACACAAGCGAAATACAAATCTCAACAGTTCACTAGACTATTTGAAGCGATTAGTCCCTTTGATAAATTTGAATACAGTAATAAGAAGACAAAGATTATTAGAACTATGTGATAATCTTTATTATATCGAATACTAATAAGGTGTCAAAAATAAGCGATATGAGGAGATAATGGGTACTTGATTATTTGTGCTAACTCAACCACTTAACACAATCTTTCAACTGAATTGACAGCAATCACTAAAGAATGTGAATAACATTCTCATACTGTAACAACAGAATACGACGCCAACATAGTCACTGACTGTTAAGTAAACGAAATATAAGCGTCTATTGAGATGTACTGATGGTTGAGGAACTCACATAAGAGATTAAACTGATGAGCGATGGAAATTTACTAAATCCTGAGTCACATACAAATAATGTTTTGCTATTCAATTTCTACTCCTAGTTTGACCACTTACACAAGTTTATTTCACATTAATTCTCTTTTTATCAAATGACATAGTAATTACCAACCAGTCTTATGTCAACTTATATTGTTTGTTAGCTAGCTACCTATGGGATGTTGAGTAACGTAGAAAGTTAAATCAATATATTTGTGTCATATACTAGAATGACAGTACCTTTACGACTATAAAATTAAAAATTTCAAGAAAATATCGGGATGAAGGGTAAAATTTAAAGGTTGAAACGTGCAAAGATCTAGAAGTCACACGTATAACATTTACACTACGGAGGCTAGAAAGTGAACTTCTAATGGAACTAATAAGTTACAGAAGGTAATATAAGTATTCTGTTTAAAACATCGAGGCAACAGTCAATGTGGTTTGTATAACTTACATTAAAACGGTCTCCATTTGGTTTAGTAACCAAACATACACCAGGTGATACTTCTGTAACAGATACACCAGGAAAAAGGGTGTTGAGATCAACCACATCTCCATTTTCAGCCAGTTGAGCAAGTATTTGTTCTTGTTGTGATAAGATATCATCATTGTTAATTTCAGATTCTTCATTGGTTTGAGATTTTGATGGCGCTTTTGACTTCGAAGATGCACCTTTGCGTCTATCTGAACTTGGCTGTTTAGGAGCTGTTACTGCCTTAGTTTTTTGTTCAACATTTGTTGATTCGTATTCATAACTTTCACCCTGAAAATCGACTTCTGACTGATTTGCTTGCTGAGAATCAGCTAAACTGACAAGATGACCTGTGGGGCGATGAAATAGACGACCAGTAGCGGCTTCCATAACCAAATCACTAGTTTGACCATTCTCTGTTAGGACTGTGAGGAAAGCACCGCTGGTAAGCCATTCATCAGGTACTGGACAACCTAAACCCCCCTCGGGAAGGAGAAGCTAGAAAGGAAACAGAAATAGTAAAACTGTTCAATGAACAGGCGATGAAAAGCACTTTTATTGATATTTTTTGAAATATTAATTGGTAATTTCTTTCTGAGATATTTAGCAACACCTCAGGATTTTACCACTGTATACACTCCAAAAGATGAATCTTGTCCCAGGTTAAGTGGAGTTGAACCACAATAACTGACTAGGAGATTCACATGCAAATTATTTTGTCTTTATTTTCAAACAGACTGAAACAAACCTATAAAGGGATGATAGATCTGTTTCGCATAATACTTCTCCCCATCCTAAATTTTCTCCAAATATCACTTCATATGTGCGGCGCAGTGCCAGTATTCTAGTTTATAAAAATTCAAGTGTTTTGAACAAATAAAACGAGGAAAACTAAAACCACCCACGAATTTACAACTAAGTTTTAAGTTGAATTAAAACAAAGCTACGTCTCATCTATAGTTTATTAAACGCTCCTATCGTTAGTAATTATCATAACACAGTTTTAACCACAGCTATGATTATAATCTGGAATTTAAAAAATGATTCGTAAAGTGTTTGAACAGAGCACCATAATGTAGATATACATGCTAATAAAAGTGTAAGCAAGGTCAATGTGAAGAACTGAATTTTCGGTTGGTGAAAACTACGATTCTAGTATCAGTATACAGAGAAAAGTAAATTCTCCCTTAAAAAATCAGTACCACTATAAACGTTACGCATACTTTCTAAATTCACTATAATAAAAAGCTTTTTTCCGAAACTGGACATTATCCTTGAGAACACGCTACACCAAACAAATAAAACTCTAAAAGCATATAAACATTTATAAAACGGCATCTTAAACCACTTGTTTCATTCCTAGGTATTACGAAAAATATTTCAAATGAAACGACATTCCCGAATATTTCTTTTTAAGCTATAGAAATTAAATATCATAACCGATATATGAACAGCAAAATCCACTAAGTATTTAATGACTTGATACATACAGTTTGACTGTCGTTTGATGTACTGGAGACAATCATTACTTTCAACTGAAAATATAACAGATTATTAAACCTATTTATTTATTTAACATAGATATTGGTACAATCAGGCACCATATATATATGCGCCACACAAATCTCATTCGATATGTGTGAGGGCTGTGATACTGTCCGGGTTCCCAAACCGAAGCAGGGTTAAACCAATTAATTGTTAATTAAACCAATTAACAAAACTCCTTAACCAAGAACATGTTCATATCCATGGAGTGAGCCACAGTTTTATTTGGTTGTTAGCGATACTAGTCAGACGAGGAATTTGATGTAGGTTGAGCAGCATTAGAAACCAGAATCACAATTGAATGCTTAACTCATCAGGCTATCGTTTGAAAAATGTTGCGACATACACTAACGTAACTTAGATTTGTATAGACGAGGCATTTCTTGTGAAATCTGAAGATGCTATTTATCTGAACGAATTTCCGTTAACAAAGAGCAGCTCAAATCTATAACGTGGATGTATAAAAAGTACAGTACTTGAAAAAAATCGTGGATATCAAATTTTACTTACTAACTCCTCGCCCAATGACACAATATTTTGAGAATTATTATCAGTTTGATTTGAAACAGCAGCATCGCCAAAGTGTTGAACTGAGTCTTCTGTAGAGGCAATGTCACTGCGCAAAGTTGCATCGACCTCATCATCCTCAGCTGTCTCCATGGCAACCACAGCACGTTTCTGATGTCCGACACTACCCTTATCAGAATCAGATGCAGCCGCTGCTGCTGCATTTGCTCTTTGAGCTGCCAATATTGATCGGAAACGCCTAGGCAGGTATTCTTCACGTAATGGTTCTTTCACAATGTATTTACCACAAGATAGACCTAAGGCAGCAGACTGTTCCTCTGTATCCACCTATGTACAAGCAATAAAGTACTGGAAATTATTACAAGTAAATAAGTTACTTAGATCTTCAAAAAAATCTTAAGAATAAACGAAACATTATTTGTATAACTGACAGATCATAGTTGTTCAGTTTTAAAATAACTAAGAAACCTGAGGGAGGTTACTAAAAACATTTCGTATATTTGGATACTAGATGACTTACAGAAATACTAACAGATAAAACAAATATTTAAATGTAATAAACGTTACGAGATAATTAACCCATATATGTTTACTGAGAAATTTGTGATTGCTAGTTGGTGTTTTTAAAGAAAAAAACTGAGTCAAAACATATACTGTTGTTATTCTCTATCAAGAGACATCGTAAAAATATCTAAGATTCAACAATATTTCATGTTTACCATTTTACACAGAATAATGAAAACACTGTTTTTACTGTATACAGTTGCAATGATTAAAATAGACAGTAATTTAGGGGCCGAAAACATTCTACGAGTAGATACTAACACCAATAAAGTGTGCAAAACAAAATTTCTAAAAATCATCAAACGATGAAAAGAGTTGATTCAGCAAAATTTTGTTTGGAAGAACACGATAATCGTAAAGCTAAAATAAATGAATATTATGTACTGATAATAAAATACAGATTATTATAACTCGATAATAGAGCGAATAGCTTACAGTGATTCTTGCTAACACAAGTTGGATTGTTCACTAACTACATACAAACAAGATCATGATGCAAGACTGTAGGTAAATGGTGACTTGTTTCGTAATGAATTTTCCAGATTTCAAATAGGAAGCGATGACAAGAAACGTAAAGTTCAAGGTGAAATGGATGCTCACTGAGGACATTTACACGGCAAATTAACCTGAACTTGGAAATGCGAACTATCAAATGAATGACATAGCAATTACCTCGTAAAATAATGGTCTTGAGTTCAGTCACGTATGGAAACATTAGTACACATTGTTGAGTCTGAAGCTACAGCGAAACATGTGACCAGTGATGCATAACATAGAACATTTACTCACTAAATAAAGTTACATTACAAGACCTTGAGCACCTATAGAAAAAATGGATTAAATATTTAACTTTAATCCTAACAAGATCAACACAACAGGGAGCGGAGTCTCTTGATAATACTTTTACCTAGTAGGGCAAAGACAAAATAGTTCTGGGAGGAGCAACTAACCTTAACTATGATTGCACCATCATCATCATCATCTTCTTCTTCTTCTTCCTCGGCATCATCCTCATCATCATTGTGAGCCCCATTCGACTGGGCATTGGATCTATCTTGTGATTTTACATCAGAAGAATTTTCTTTATTCTTCGAAGCGCTACTTGGTTCATCGTTATCGTCTTCACCATCTGAAAACAAAAGAAGTTCACTTTAGTCGTTTCATTAACAACTAAAATGCGGTTTTAGCAGAACACGTTTTTAATCAATTGGCGGATTAGATCAATTCAGTTTACTTCTTTGAAACTCAAACAGTATGGAGATTTTTACTCCTAAAGTAAATCACTCATTAGAAGTTGTTACTTAACATGACTCTGATGTTATTAAAAACCATGAAGGACAGTTACATGGTCAAGAAAGCACAAATACAGACTACTTAGCTATAAATCTGAGTTCTGGTAATCATTTATATGTAATTTAATTAAAGTAGATAGTTATGATTGATCAGAGTTGACAAAATTATTATAGAAATGCTTGAATTAATTTCTATAACAAAAACGCAAGGCGATCGGTATACTATTTTGAGATTTTAATCATTAACAACTTAGTCACAGGACTAAAATATTTAATTTAGCAACAGAAAAATTATTATTTTTCCCGTTCACATTATATTCATCATCGGATAATAAGAGCATTTTTAAAAAAAGAATAAACGAACAGAATTTGCTTGTCACCTTTTCGATTTTCTGAATCCATTTCATTTGACTGCTTTGATTTTTTTGCTGTTCGTGGTTCTAATTGATCGCAGAGAAATGATCTAGCACGTTCTACTAAACTCAAGTAATCCAAAACAACACGAGGCACTTGAGGAAGAGGAGGATTACCATGCTCTGAACGTAAAAGAAGATGATCCCATGGACTAATTAATTTACACAAACGTGGTGCAACAAATTCAATTAAATCATCATCTGTAGCTTCAGAAACAGCCTTAAAAAGAAAACAAAGGATACAGAATCATTAAACATTGATTACAACAAGTATGTTGACTTACAATGAAAAAATCCAACTAATGATATATACAAAAAAGCCTATGAGAACTTGAATTCGGCACTTAGTTTTCGGTTTTGGTAAACGCTCGTTTTTTCGAGGTATGTTGTAAAACACGTTCATATCACTAAATTCGACTTAGGACACACAACTTTATACAAATGGTATTAACATTGGGAGAGTAAGCAATCTCAAGGAGATCCGAATGGCGAAAAGCAGGAAGCCAGTGGAAAGCTCTAGTCGAAAACGGGTTATTGGAGGTGTACACTTAATTCGCAACAACTAAACAAGCATCAAAACGATGTGAAAGTTCGTGCATATTGATTTACGATGCTGTGGATTCTGTTATACAAAGATCAATCTTACCTGACACATCGCCCAAATCTAACATTCTGAATGTTTTAAACGGATTATCACTATGAAAGAAGGGAAAAGCTCTTGATAATGTTAGACGAATGCTCATTTCGAAAGTGTAGTTTTTGCCCTACTTACACAGTGATAAGCAAATGACTGTCTGATTTGAGCATACAATAAGCAAATGGATAAAACTCTGATAAAAAATATATCTTTAATACACAATGTTTGTGCAAATAAATCAAAAGTATACGTATATAGTGGAGGGTTTACTATTCACATAAAATTAGAGAAAAACTTATTACACAACAGTCAGCTTTTTACGATCCCAGTATGCGATAAATGCAAACAAACCGTAGAAATTAAAAGTAGACTAAGTTCATAAAGTAAGAGTTTTCAGTACCCTATCACTGATAGATAATTCAAGGATTCCATATAGATCCCGTAATCATTCAGAAAAAATAAGTTAGATGAAATTATATTATGTACATATGTCCCAGGTTCTACGTTGTGTATGACTGACTGTCTGTTATGGAATTAGTAATTAACAAGTAGATGAATTGGTTTAAGTGATATGCATGACTCACAAAAAACTGGGTCAAAAGTCTGATCCCATCCTATCGAACTTGTTCTAAGCAGACAAATCATTGAGTTATATGGTCACGACTAATAACTTACCAAATTTGATTTCGTTAGTCAAAAAACGAATAGCATAGCTATAAGGAGTCATTTTATATTTTGAAGAGAAAATTTTTGACTAAATTTTATCCTGTGTTGATGTATCATCTTATTGTTGATGATGATGTGTGGTTCTCCAGGTGGACAGTCGGACAAGTGACTGTAATACTAAAAAAACCTCAGGTAGTAAAGTATAATAACGTTGCACTAATAATAAGTGATAAACATTCAGTTTATTACCATTACAAAAAAAACAAGTAGTGTTTCGACCAACTAATCGCAATTTTGTAAGAGATGGGGTAAATTCCTCCAGCTTATTATTCTGAACTACATTTTTGGGAAAAAAAGAGTAAAATTTTTTCCATTCATTATAAATACCAAAAGTAAGGACGAAATGAGATGGTCGGAAAGAAAATAGTAGGTTGAATGATATTTTTTACGAAATTTGAGAGTACAAGTACGACTGGTAAAGTTCGGAACTCGTTTAAGATTAGAAAATAATAAACTGAAATAAAAACTAATTCAGCATAACATGAGAAACTACCTCTTTTAATTTGGCTCTGCGTCGAACACTAGCCATGTATGGATTGGCCCAACGGCCCCGAGGTCTACCGCGGTTTGGTCCATGAGCAATACTTCGATGTCGTGCGACTCCAGCACGAGAAGTGAACACTTTAGTGCACAAAGGACATGGCCAACGTAAACCTAAAATTAATATAAACCGATTTATGTAGTTCTGATGAGGATATAGTTTCTTAAATATCATAAAACTCTAACTCAATACTAAGCAATATCATAATTAAGAACTACCATCGCAACGACAGGAAGACCATAGCAATACGTCTCATTAAAAACGTTAATGATGTTGAAATCAAAATACATAAAAGCGAAGAATTTAGTACGATCTAACCAGACGAAAAGCTCATAAAAAAGACAAGCCAATTAGCAGATGTATATTTACTGGTTGCAAAACTTACTATGTGTATCAATAGTAATAAACCAATCATCAAGGTATAACTTATCTAAACGATCCTAGCACATAAAGATGTTCGATATTCCTGAAATTTATGAGCTTATATCTTAAGATTTAAAATTACAGGGACTAACAAGTAAAAAATATAGTAATAATCGTAGTATTAAACAATTCATAGTGAAAACGAAGCAACAACTGAAACCACAGAAATGTTAATAGTACATAGAAACTTACTTCTATTCGTGCCATCTTCGGACCAACCTTCATCCGAAAGTCCATCGTTAATATAATCAGAGTAACCTCCATCGGAGTGTTCATCTTCCTCACTTGACTCCGGTTTAGATGTCAGATCTTCTAGACGCAAATGTTTATAGTCCTTAACCTAAAAATACAAAAAACCTACAGATGACCTATGCAGGATGTCGTAAAAAATATTTGGGATACGATTGATTACTAAGCATGGGAAATAACCTGAAGGCAACAGTTGACATTGATCGCTCATTAAGGGCTTTATCGACCAAAGCGGTAAACCCACTAATCGTATTTTATGAAACACAAATATGGGGTACAGATTTGAATACTTGGCTACGAAACATATTTTAAATATGAGAGGTTAATAATACTACTCATTCTACCAAACTGACGCGGAGCGGTATCTGAATCTGAGACTTGGTTGCATAAAGTCGGAAGCCTTAACTACTGAGCCAACGCTCCACCATTGAGTAAGCAATGATCCTGATTTTTTATTATTTAAACGCATAAACATAGATACGAGGAGGTACCAAATAGATATGTGCCACACAAATCATTCGATTTATGTGAGGACTGGAATACTGCCCGGGTACCCAAACCGAAGCAGATGGTTTTCTAAGGAAGGCTTTTAACCGAGAGGTCTAATCCAAAAGGCAGTAGAGCAACGTAAGGAGATGAAGTCCCGTGGTATCCGGCAACCAACGTTTAGTTTATACGCCATTTGTCCCCTCAAGATACTGGAGCCCATGTACACCATTGGTTTGGAATCGGGGCATACCAACTCCCCTATGTGGATCCTCCGTATCCACCAATCCGGTTAAAACGCCCCAAATGCCCTGGTACGGCCAAGAGTGAGGAGAGTCCGCTGTCCCTCTCGAAATGCTCTCACATGGCCACGCATATATAGCCTCTGCCAGGGAAGTCCTACTCACTGCCTTCTCGTGGCAATACTGTTGTTTACGAAAATAAGAGGACGAAAAGCGAATGTCCGGCGCTTTAACCGGATCACAAACCAATGGTGCACATGGGCTCCAGTATCCTGCGGGAACAAATGGCGAATGAACCAATTATTGGTCACCGGCTTCCATGGAACTGCATCTCCTTACGATGCTCCACTACCTTGTGGATCAGACCGTCAGGTCGAAGGCTCGGGGTGTGGCCCTCTAAGAAAACCACCTGCTTCGGTTTGGGCACCCAGGCAGTATCACAGCCCTCCCGCATATCGAATGAGATTTGTGTGGCGCATATGTATTTGGTGCCTCTTTGTACCAATATCTATGTGTTGAAATAAATAAATAATAAAGGCGCCAGACATTCGCCTTCCGTTCTCTCAACTTCGTAAACAACAGTAACGCCACGAGAAGGCAGTGAGTAGGACTTCCTTGGCAGTGGCTGTATACGCGCGGCCATGTGAGAGCATTTCGGGAAGGAGAGTAACTCAAGTCTAAGAGAGAGATAAGAGTTTGAGTGGTGATTTAGTAGTCGAAAACTCGACTGTCTAAACCACTGAGTAAAAGTCAAATAGGTACAATAATTTATGAAACTGTAGTATTAAACATTACCTACATATTATTCAAGTTCAAAATGTTTAACAAACTGAAAATTGACAAGCAGAGCTCTATGCAAAAGTATTTCATGAAAATTCCCTCACCAAGTGTTTTGGAGGCTTTGATACACGACCAGAAGCAGATGTCCGTCTAATTAATGGAAATGGTAGAACTTCTTCTTCCGGCACCTCAGGTTCAAAGTCAGGATCTTCCTCATCTGAACCACGTTTTCTACGTTTTCGTCCAATAGGTCGACCAGCTCGACTTTTTTTCTCACTTTTAACAGTAATGCTGGATCTATTTCTCTCGCCACCTAGTGCTGTAGCTCCAGTATTTCCATCATCATGACGACGCTTTGCACGTGTTACACGAAATATAATGCGACGATTTGTGAGACGATTATAAATTGCACTTGGTCGAGAACCGCTACTTGATAGTAATGCTTGATTTGTTAGGACTTGAATGATTTGTTGCAAGTGCTCGTCGGATACATCTTGTGTAGTTATGTACTGGTTTCCTTGTTGTATAATTCTAATCGGGTTTTTATTTGAACCCACAGGAGCATTTGGATCAGCAGCTGGCATGCGAGCCTGAATTTTCTGAACCTCTTCTAAATCAATGGGTTCGATATCCAAGCCTGCCTGTGGAGGCTCTTGAGGGACAACCATTGACGAATCATATGCATTATTCGCTAATTCTATTGTATTAGGTACTGATGAAACGAGCTGAACATTTTGCCCAACCACTGGTGCAAAGCCGGCAGCAGAAGTTCCGTAAACCACTTGAGCATTCTGAACTGGAATTTCGTCACGTTTAAATTCTTCATTTACGAGTGATTCTGATAAAGGCTGTAACGAATTAGCATCGACAATTTGTATTTGTCTCTGTTGCCGATTCGCTGCATTGTATGCGTACGAAACAGCAGCATTATTGTGCTGATTAGAAATCATGAATTCTAACAAAGAAACAGAAAGATGAAACATTTGATAATGACCTCCAGGTGATTTACAAGATAAAAATCATACAACCAGTAATAAATCCACATAGTAAGTGGTAGACGATAGAGCGAAAGCTACTTTAGGAATTAAGAACATTATTGTTAAAAACAGTGAGTTTCATGTTACTAAATAAGCAAACGGAGATTGTAATTTTCACTAAATGACGTTATGAGCATGACACAGTGCCCAATCACATACGAATCCTCACGCAAATTTGATATTTTTGTACATTAAATATGTTCTATCAGTATGAGGTTGTGGAGATTATTAATTTTTTGATTAAGATCATGAACCGACTGATGTTAGACCACCACTGAAAACCTGGAAGCATTGGACGGTCATTTCGTCCTAATATGGGACTCCTCAACAGTGTGCGTCCACGATCTCGCACGCGGGATTCGAATCCAGGACACTCGGTCTCGCGAACGAACGCTTGACTTCTAGATCACTGGGCCAACATCAAACGGTGTTAATGCCTAACTTCAACCAATTCACGGAATAGCGCGACTATCTTCCATTGTCTATGGTAGATACCGATTTGCTACACTGATCACGGCATCTCACTAGAACTCCCAGAATTTCCTTGACAGTGCTTCCAGGTTAGCAAAGGCGATCTAACAACAATTGATTCATGATCTCGATCAAAGATGTCTTAAGGGAGATGAGAAGCATTGGTAATTAAGACCAAATCTTAAAGCTGGATGAATAGCTTAACTGCAATAAATAGTACTACAAACGCCATTTATCGAATACTTTCAAACACTATGCTACATTAATTAACGATTATATAAAAACCGTTATTGTAATGAATCTTAAGTCGAAAAAGGAATATGCAGAGTTATATCTAAAATATTAAGTGGGATTAACATGGAATTTCAAGATGTTGGAAAACGGTGTTAACTACCCGATTGTCAATAACCAAAAAGTAATAGGACACTGACCAAACTGTCAGGGTTCGAAATTATTAGTATGGAAAGTTTGAGACCAAATTGGATCATTTGAAACATGTTTATCTAGAAGCACTAATGTTATTAACTTCGTATTAAAAACTAAACACTGGGAGTCTTAATTCCAACAATTTTGAGCGGCCTGTACTGTACTGATCATTTGTATCAATAATGTTCAGCGCTCAAACAATAAGTCAGGTTTACAGCTTACTGGAAACGCTTGGATAATCCGCCCAGACAACTTCTTAATGACATACGAACAATCTTATTTATTAATGGAAAGCAATGCTTTTTGCAATATAACAATAACACATCAAAAACCAACCTAATAAAATTTAATACCTTTTTTCTATATCCCTTTGCACTAACCATACTAGAAGTACATGGAATCCCAATCCTATCTTACGCAGCTGATTGTTATTAATCTACTCTTATGTTAGCCAGTAGTGAAATTGGCCATCCGTTTGTATGGTGCACATGCTCATAAACAAGAAACTGTCCATAAGCAATTCAGATACAAGATAATAACCCACGATTCCAAATCAAATAAATACTTTATGAACATTAGAATATTACAATTACAGTGTTTGCACCGATAAGTCAGAGTCATTTGAAATTGAGCTACAAATATCAAAATCAAAACATTTAGATACGAGAACACAATCAATAATACCGCTTTAGGTGGGTAAACAAATGGAAATTTTATCAGCTATGAAACCCTTACCAACCATATTACCAAATTCTGTACAAGATTATTGGACAACTTAGCGTAACATCATAGCGCCAGCGGGACTTAAACATTTACGAAACAATAAACTTAGGAGTAACAACGAAGACCAAACAAGCAATTGTAAATGACTTGTGACAACTGAATTACAACATAAGAAAGTCTGACTAAGCTTAGCTATGTAACTTACAGGACTTGTTGAACACAACCTATAATTAATTGAGACCTCATTTAAACAAAATCGCAGTAGAAACTGGAAACTAACCTTTTTCCAGTGACCTCGTAGTCATAAATAGGACGACACAATTTTTTGTAATAATGTTCCCTTAATTTTTTTTGAAATACCTGAACATAAATTGACAGTGATTCCGAGTTCCGATCATATTAGCTACCATAGTAACTTCAGTCAATCTTACAACAGGACGAGTAGGTTAATTCCCACTGATTTTAACATGAAGTCATTTTTTCGCAATTATTTCGAATTATCACTCAATTGCATCCAACTTTCTGAAACCAGGTTAAAATTACTTCATTTGATTAAAGCTGGTGTACCTCTTATGTTTTGCCTGTGAAAACTCCAAGGAATGCAAATCCGGATTCAGCATCATGCTGTGGCTGAACTTTACCCTCTTCTTTAATACCTAATGGGCCTCGACTCTTCCCATATTTCCAGGGAGAAGCGGGAGTGACTGGAGGCTACGTAGTAATAACAGAGTTCGCAACTGACAAACAATACGAGTTAAGTAGATTGTGGGTGGTTTCTCTATTCACTTAGTCAACAATGCTTGTCAACTAATAGATTTGTTTTAGAAATAATCTTCCTCTGAGGAAATTAGATGACAGACATCACAGGTATTTGGAATTCTGCTACGTCTTTACACGCAAATCAAAGGATACAAACTCAGTCAAACCAGAGGTCTGGAATAAAGGAGTTCGGAGATGTATTTGAAAAGTCATGGATGTGTGGAGAAGCGTTCGGTACGAGCTGGCTAAAAGTTGCAAAGGACTCATAGCTCGGCGTGCCCATCGACGATCTGGTGCTTATGTGTGTACGAGCACCTTCAGTGTCCAGTAGAACTAATGGGGTAAGCACTGATGTCGAAGACTTAGAGAACTATTGGTTTTGAGGATCTGTTTACCGTTATAAGATGTTCTATGTTTTAAAGTAAGCTTCAGGGATTTATCTGGATACTGACAATTTGCAATATATAAAAATCAAAGTATTCACCGTTTCCCATTTTGTCAATAGTACATGGCACGTCTAAGGTAAAGAAAATCGGGCAACAAGTAAAAATTCTAGACTGGATCTAAATGCAATTTGACAACTTGTTGTAAACTTCAAAGAGTCTGGATATAGACAGGTGGAGGACCAAGAGTTCTTCTGATTAATGTGGGCCAATACGTTGACATGTAACCTAAACGTCTGTAATGACCAGTGGTATTAGGTTGATCAGTTGTAGCACAACAAAAGAGGAGCCTCACTCCTTCGTTCTCGGTATTATGAGAAAGCTGTATTTACAGTTCTCATACGTGATCCCTTGTAAACCAGAAAGCTTACACTGAACTGATGGATATCGGATACATATGATCAAGTCTACCAAAGGAGATGTACGTTAATCGAGATTTTCGGCGGAGAAGGTCAGTCGACGCGTGAATTTAGCGGCAATTGTCTTGTCACAACCAAAAACGTCTAGTCTATGTTGACGTGGTAGTCATCTAGATGCATTAAAATACCTTAAACTGCTTATTTACATGAACAGGTAAATTCGTAACATTATCAGGGACTGAACCAATAACGGGAATCACAACTAAGAAAGTGTCAAGAGCCTTCATTCTGGAATAGTTATTAACAGATAGAGTAGCATAGTTTGAATCAGCCATTCAACAAATGATGGACATTTCTAAGAGTTAACAAAATACTTTGAACAATAATTCACGTCCAAGCTAATGGGTTGACGAAATATTTACATCGTCAGGTAAAATTTGCTCTTAAAGCACACTTAAATTTCACCCAATTGACAAATCCCTGTAATTAATTATATAGAAAATGGTAACACTTGTCCAAACTTGTTCACAGTTCTCTGTAGCAAAACTAGTTTCTAGGTTAATATTAGACTTCCGCATGAGTTTGTTAATCCCTGCTTGAAAGTGATGACTTCAATCTAGCAAGGCATGCAAATGGCTGTCATATCAAGTTTCTAGGCTTGTCTTTTTGAACTTGCGACTGGTGGCAACCTTCCTATTTGCCTAAATACTTAAGCGTCTATAAATAAGCATCTATAGATAAAGCTAGTCAAGGCAAAAACGTTGCTCAGTTCTTCGTTTTCAGAAACACTCAAGATGGTTGTAATTTATTTATTTATTTATTTATTTGAGCACATAAATATTGGTACAAGAGAGCGTCAATATATATGCGCCACACAAAACAATGAGAATTCGAAGAGAGATAGAAAAACAAACTAAGGAGCACAAAAGAAAAAGAGAACGATAACAAAGAGATTGGTGTAAGGTAGTGTGGTCGTAACGATGGAACGGAAAGGTACAATCAGAAGAAATCTTTCAAGTAAGGGAGACACAACCACTTTTTATGAAGAAAGTAAAAGAAGGTTACAGCAGGATCGCCACTGGCTTCTATTCTGAGCCATATCTGATAACGTCTCTAGCCACTGTGTAGCACCATCTCTCAGACCCCAACCAGGGAGTCGTGAAGGACCGACACAAGCCAGTCCTTTGCAGCTTTCTTTCATACTACGACACCATGTCATGCACTGACCACCTCTCCGCTTTTTCCAACCAGTCCCAGAGTCGGCAAATAATGCACGACGTGGAATTCTCTGGGATGACATTCGTAGAACATGTCCCAGCCACCGAAGTCGGTGTTTCAAGATGGTGACACCAATTGAATTATCATCTCTGTGCCCAAACACACGATGCCGAACCTCTGCATTACTGACATGGTGTTGCCACTGAATGTCAGCAATCCTTCGGAGACAGCGATGATCGAACACAGAGAGTCGTCTAACGTCCTCAACTCGGAGAGGCCAGGTTTCACAAGCATAGAGCAAAACTGCTCTCACCGACGCGTTGTAGATCCGACCTTTTACAGCCAGACTAACATCACGAAGGCGCCAAAGGTGGCCCAGATTGGCATAAGCCGCTCTGGCTTTCACTATACGTGCATTTATCTCATCACTCACACCCCCACCAGCACTTATGCAGCTACTCAGATACACGAACTTCTCGACTACGAATGTAACAATGGAGAGTGGTGGTTGTATGCCCTCACTCTGCCTGAGGTATTTTTATATAGGGCTTTTAGGATGTTAATAAACTTCTCAGGCACACCCTTCTTCAATAGACAATCCCAGAGAACAGTCCTGTCCAACGAATCGAAGGCAGCCCTGATGTCAAGAAACACTACGATTGTTGGCCTTTGATAAGTATGGCGATGTTCTAACATTTGGCGGAGGGTGAAGATATGATCAATACATCCTCGACCAGAACGAAACCCAGCCTGCTCCTCGCGAGTCAATCTTTCTCGGGTTTTGAACAACCTACGAAGTATGACGGAAGCCAATAGCTTGGACGCAATCGGAAGTAGACTTATACCCCGATGGTTGTTGCAGGAACGACGTGAACCCTTTTTAAAGATAGGGACGACTATCGACTCATTCCATGACGTTGGTACACTCTCCAGTTTCCAAACCTTTGTAAACAACGTCGTCAATTCCTTGATCAAAGAGTCACCACCATCTTTAAAAAAAGCCGGAGGTAAGTCATCTGGGCCAGGTGATTTGTAACGCTTCAAGTGTTGGAGTTCCTTGCGGACTTCCTCCTCGTTTGGTGGATCAGTCGTCACCGGCCATGGAGGGCAGGACAGTCTGACCGATGTTGCCGGAGCAGCAGGCCAGTTGAACTGCCCTTCGAAAAATTCTGCCCATCGTCCAAGACGTCGATGGATGTTAGTGATCGGCATCCCATCATCCTCGCAGATTGTTTCACTCACACCAGACTTCTTGCTGTCAGTGGCTCGGATGAGCTGGAAGAGCTTCCGGTAGTTACCAGATGCAGCTGCTGCTTCCAGCTCATTAGCACGCTCCGACCACCAGGCTTCTCGATCCTTACGCAAGCTTTGCCCAATTTCCTTACGTAACATCCTTCGTTTATGGTCAAACTCACCGTCACCTGGAGTGGACCGACGGGCTTCAATAAGTTGTAAGGAACCAGAAGAAACCCAGTGCTTATAAGCGGGACGTTTCGCAAACCCACAACTGACTGTTCCCGCCATTTTCATGGCGTCATGCAATTGCAACCAATGCTCATCTATACTTTTCGGTGGAGTGGTAGCTAGCCTAGAGGCTAGCTCGGTTCGATACTTATTTGCAACAGAAGTTGCAACCAGCTTGCTAATATCGATCCTTTGATGGCGGTCACTTCGTTGGCCAATGAAAAGTAAGGTAAGATTGGCGCAGATCAAAGCATGGTCAGAGTCCAGATAGGTACTCCAAAAGGAGCGGCAGTCCTTTACACAACCACGCCAGCGGAAGCTGATCGCGATGTGATCAATCTGAGTCCAGGCTTGGGATGCAGAGGGAGGACGCCAGGTGGCACATCGGCGATGACTGTGCCGAAAGTTAGTGCTAGCCAGAAACAGGTTGTGGTCTGTGCAAAGCTGCAGTAGACGGTCCCCGTTATCTGACCTGCGATCAACGAGTCCCCATCGGCCATCTAAACGACTCTCTTCTGTGCCTAGACGCCCGACCTGAGCATTCAAGTCTCTGGCTAGTACTACAATATCTGTCGAGCGCACTTTCTGGAGAAGAACAGACAACTGGTGGTAAAACTCATCCTTGATTGCATCCGGGCTGCAATCTGTTGGGGCGTAGGCGGAGATGACGAAAAGACATAGTTTCTCACACCGATTTCTTCTCACTTTGATGGAACTTTCTAATCTAACAGCACATAACCGACTGTTAAGAAAACCTAAGTACTTCGTTGTATAAGATGAATGGAGTGCCACAATAAGTAGTGATAAGCTGAATCACTGTATGTTTTATTGGACTTTTTGCCAGAGAAAATAATGACAGAATTGACAGGTAATACAGAAAGTTTCTACATCTTACTAAAGAGGTCAGGTGATCACAGACGAAAATACACTAGAGGCTACCTAGTGCTTTAGCTCAACGCTAAAAACTTA